TGAACGGGACAAAGAGGCGGAATTGTTTATGACTCAAGGAGGATTAATATGCAAAAAGGACGAGGAAGAGAAAGATATAGTTCTGATAAATTGATGCGTATGTTTCTGTCAGATTGGATTAATAGATTTATTGTTGGAATACTATTATGAAGAAAACAGTATTCTTTTCCTTTGGTATGAGATAGATTAATCAAATGATTTTACTTTCCACGATCCCTTTTTTCCTTTTTAAATTTGATTCATTCAAGGGGTAATCCTAAAGTTCCAAAATTATTTTTATTACTAATTAATTATGTAAACAACGTTCTAGACTGCATAATTTAATAATATAGAACAATTTCATGAAGCATCATCCTTGCAAATTATAAACGAAGTAGAAAAAAATCAATATAAATATCTATAAGTAAAAATACTATATAAATAATATATAAATGTATTTGATAAATTAATTAATAGTACAATAAATTCCGTCATGATTTTAGAAGTGTAAAAATATTTTTTTAATAAATAATAATTAATAAAAGATGTATTCATAAAAGCAATGACGATGAAACTTTAAATCAGATAAATTACAGACAAACATGCCTTACACAGAAAAAAAGGGTATGAGAGAATATCTTGTGTGATATAATAACAGATATTTTTACATATCTTTTATAAAAAGATAAGAAAATGGTTAACCAAATTGACTTTTGATTAAGACATAGTATGTATTAATCACTTTATCTATTAACAATATTATCTGCATAATCATAATTATGATTATTAATCTAATTAATGCGTTTTAATTAATAAATTTCATTGATTGAAGTAACCTTTTGTTACCAGAAGGCTTTGTGACCTTCTTTGGCCTTCAATAATCTTCATTACCGTTCATCAAACTCGTCTCAACTACCATTGCTACAATAAGAGACGCAAAACTTACAATCTAATTAAAATAAAATAAAATGGAAGTAACTTTGAGATTTCTATTAATTATTTCTATTAATTTAACTCGGAACAAGAAATAATTTTTATCGTATTATATTTCGATATTGTTTATACCAAACAATAAAAGTTATTCACTTCGCAAATCATATATTCAATTTTTTTATTTTTGTAGAATAATATTCATTTCGCTTTTTTCCTTTGGGCTTCTTTTCTTAAGATAAAAAAGATCGAGTTTTTGTATTAAATACTAACGATATTTATAATTACTCGATTTTTGAAGGATGTTAGTGATCATTTTCTAAACAAAGAGATCGGTCGATAAACAAATTATTCGAATTAATCTTGATTTCGTTGAAAATATTTAAAAATAGAATTTTTCTCTATACTCGAGCTTTATGTCTTCTGTTTCATTTATTTTACATTGTAATCTCATTTGCTAAATTATCGGAACATGATACTACACGATCCACGTTGAATCAGTTAAACCCAGTTAGTATCTTCAGAATATAAAATTTCCTGTTACTTTAAATTTCAAGCGCAGTCAAGAAAATCTAGTATGCGTTTATCAAATACGCCATGTCGTATCTGGTACTGCAATAAATTTTGCAACTAACAGAAAGCGAGTCATAAGTAAAGGAATTAACGATCCGACAAATTAAATTATCCGCTAGATGAAATTAATTGATTCTTCGTTTAATCATCTATCGCTCATCTTAAATTGCATTTAGAATTTTCTAATTTCTATCAAATAGAAACATATTGAAGAAAAATTCGTTTAACCTAAAACAAATTGAAAGTATGTAATATGTACTAAACAAAGAATTGATTCTTAATGCTCTAAAACAAAACAAATCTAATATAACTTATCTTTTACATCTCTATCTACTTTCAGTAACGACCTAACCTAACCGTAGAAAACATATATATATATATATATATATATATATATATATATATATATATGCATATCTCTCAATACGTTCTATAGCATTCTTCCATTCACGCAAGACTTAACAAGTTTCACAAAATTCCTCCGCGATCATTAGTGCAACAGGTTGCAAAGAAATTGATGCAAGCCAGTAGAATCAAATTACACATTTAGAACGCTGATGCTGATTACAAATATTTGACGAAGGCTATACATATGCTGAAAATGTTGATTCCAATTAATTGCATAACTCCTCAACATTGTTTCGTTCTTTGCTCTTTTTTTTCTTTCAATCATTCTCCATATAATTGTATTTTCTCTATCATAAAAAAATCTCTTAATTTTCAGGAAACTATGAGAAAATTTCAATTGAAATTTTCAATTTCATGTTAAAGATTTTCCTAAAGCATTAAAAGTCTCTTTGTCGAGGCAAAGGTGAAGTTAGGACAAAATATGTTGGCACAACAAAACGTTATTTGAATCAGTAAGATTTATATTAATAATGACATATAAATAATTTTCATAAAAATTATATCTTTTAATGAAATAATATTATAGCTTTGAAACACTATACTATGTATGTACTCTATTTCTGTCACAGGAAATTTTCCAATTATAAATTAGCTAATTTAATTTATTAAGATGCTTTCGTGCGTTCCTCATGAACCCTATATGTATTGCTATAATCCCCATACTACATTTTGTTCGACTTTCCTAAACTATATTAAACAATGAAACACATGTGTCGATAATTTTGGAGCAACCTATACAAGAGTATGTTATCGCGACCGGTCCTTATTGTACGCACGTAAGCAACCACCAATACGAAAGCTGCTTTCATTGCACGATGCTCTCAACTAAAGCCATACGGACAAAATGTTTCTTCTCTCTTCACGTTTCCTGTCATCAAGGCTCGCACCATTTTCCGGAAATGAAGTCTTTCGCTTTCTCTTGATACTACAGTAATACGTATACTACCCCAATTAATTTCTGGGCCTATCAATTCAAAAGACAGTAACAGTAATACATGTTATTGTTATGTTATGGTCCCCTCCATTTAAAAATATAATGATCTATTTAAAATGCTAAAGTGGGATACGCTATATATATAATATATACATACATTTATTACATTTACATACACGTATTTGACTACATGAAAGTTAATAAAAGTAAAATTATATTGAATGTATATGCATATGTTAAATATATAATTTATGAATAGCATACAAAAAAACAATTAGTACACTAAAGTGCATCTTATTAAAATAAATGTTACATATAGTTAAATAAATTGTTCAACCATTAATTAAGATCCTTTGTAATCTTAATTCCAAGAATTTGCGTACAATTCATGTGCCGAATATGTTCATATACTAAACCATATTCTATATGTCAAGAACATTCTCATATATGTATGTCTTATATAACTAATACTATGCTTTGCTAATAACGAAAGGATTGTTCTTTCTCCGAGAAACAAAATGCTCCTGTTGCAATGTATTTTAACTCTACCAAATATAGTACTTTACCATAAATAAACTAATGATCTATATTTGGAAATCAAAAGCTAGAAAAGACGCTATGAGAAATGTCATGTCATCTGGTAATAAATGTACTAAGCACTATTAATGATATAATCTTTTCCTATACTTCTTTTATATTTTGTGACTTAAGAATGTCATAGGATATTTATTTACTTCGTATGAAAAAATGTTTACAACGTATTTCTCACAATGTATTTTCAATTACATATTTTCAAGAGCAATACCTTACCTTTGACTCATTGAAAATATACAGCAAAATTCTGCTGTGCAGGTTTTAATATAAAAACCCCCAGAGTTAAAGATGATTTAACACGAACGCATGTTTACCAGAATATGATGCCAAAAGAATGTGCAATATCCTAAATTCGAAATTTCGAAATATATTTGATTATAATCGCTCAATTACGATCGATTGATGTAAATGCTTTTGGACCTTTGCCACCTTTTATTATAATGTCATTCTGCTAATGAATATGTCTAACTAATCAATGTATCAATGACGTGTATCAATAAAACGTTCGATACAAGTCGTTATCGACAGATTGAATCATAATTCAAATACATATTAAAGACATATAGCATCGAAGCTGCCATTAACACTTTCATGGGAATTATTTTTCCCACCAATTAACATTACGCTTATGCAATGTGAAGATATATTCCTGTTTCTGGAGCGTGTTGCTATATACATACATATACATGTATAATCGTGGAGAACAAAACAATTAAATTTTATTATATGTTAACAGCACCTACTATCCTTAATTTTAATATTTATTGCAATACATAACATAAACAAAAATTAATTCATTTTACTAAAATAAACTTTTCTCGTTTCATCTTAACATAAGGAGATCAAATATAAAGTCGAGCGTGGAAAGACAGTAGAAATATATAGCTTTTTCTGTCTTCCTGCAAATATTTAAAAATTTCAAAACTACATCCGTGAAAAAGTTAAATATAGACCACAAAATACTAATTCCAAGATGACCGTCAATTTATCAAAAGTTATACATTTCAGCGTCCCATCTGCTCTCTTTTCACATTTCATGTTTGACCTGCTTATGTTGAGATGAAGCAACGAAAGAGAATAAGTAAAACCTGTTGATCCAATATTCCAAATTTAGCCGAATTTGACAACAGAGAAATTTTGTCAAATATCTCAACAAACATTATTTTTTGTTTATCTTAAATATTATCAGAGAAGAGAATAACAGAGAAAAATATAATGTTCCATTTGACAATAAAATCAGATTATGAGTTCATTTCGACAAATACAGTTACATCACGATACTACAAGATTTACTTCGTTAATAATAACTGTATTAATCGTTCGATATAGAGCTCACATTATTTCTATGCAATATATTAACAATCTTTATGACGGTGACTAAATGATTGAGAACTGATTAAATTAAGCAATATCATCTACTTTAAAAAATTACATTATGATCAATGCAAAGAACAGTTTTCATGAAAACGTTGTATATACGGTGCTATCACGATAACGCACAGCATCCCTTTAAAATGTTTAATTATAATCGGAAAGATAAGCTGTAATAAGATAAATGTTTTTAATTTGCGTTTTTACTTACTCTGATATGGTTTTTGTGTAGCTTGATAGTATACAGCCATGAACACAAAAAATGCAACAAAAAAAAACGTACTAACTAGCACAGCGACTATCACGCGATGTATATACCTCACTCTTCAGCTTTCGACTAAACTAAGCTACTTGCCAATTGTGCCTTGTGCTGCATTCTTGTGCATCGACCAAACTATATACATCTATGCATTCAAATAGTGGTACAGTTAAACTGGCGACCTCTACAGCAATAATAAGCTCATAACGGTAAAAATGATTAGTCGATAAAACAGAAATTCCAAAATTTCATTTATCTAAGTGAAATTTGTAAAAAAATTTCTTGTTAAAATACGATTTTAGTTATTTTATAAAACAGATATAACCTTACACTTTGATATTTTGTAAATAATGTGTATTTTTTTATATGAAAATGTAGAATTTAATATTCATAATATTCATAATGTTGTTTCGCATATTTTAAGCAACGAATCAAACACTTTTTCTGTTTTATTTATATCTACAGTTTATAATTACGACTATGTATAATTTATTTATATATTTTAAAGTATTTATCTTATATTTCGAAAATAAAATTTGTACATAGAATATAATTGGCGTGTATGAATGCATGCTAAACATCACATCTGTTAAATATCACCTACAAGGTCAATTTAAATTCATTAGCGCCAGAAATTCATGCAGTTGTTGTATTATGTCATATTTTATAACATTAAACGTGGATCTTTGAAATTTACTATTATTCGTAATATCTAAGATTACAAATCAAATAACGTTGCCCACACACAGTGATTACAAAAGATTTGTAAATGTGTTTGTTATTCCATATAAATTGACAGTCAGATTAACGTTCATTTTACATCGTTGTATAGACAACCGATTATCCGATATTTAAACGTTCCGAAGATGAATACGAGATTCAGTGGATTAAAATTAGGACCTCCGATAGAAGTTTTTGCGCTTCATAAAGCATTCATAGAAGATGCTTATGAAAAAAAAGTGAATTTATCTATAGGAGGTATGTTGCATATATTTCATTTCATATTTGGTATCGTAGAGAGCAAACGTAAATATAACACAAATTTTCTTTAATAATTTAAAAAACAAACATTTGAAATATCTATGAAATGTCAACCTTTGTGATGAAATGTTTTTGTATTTCTTTCATATTGTAATGAATCTGCTTTTGGATGACCTCCAGAATATCTGATGATTACATAACGTATTTCACAAATATGAATGTATAGCTGTAATAAGATTTAATCGTTATTTAAGCAATGAACAATGATACGAGATTATTAAATAACTTGAAATAATTCTCGAAAATTATGATAAATTTATATTTACAGCTTATCGTACATCTGAAGGAAAACCTTGGGTATTACCAGTTGTTCGAAAAGTGGAAAAATCATTAGCTGCAGATGAATTGCAAAACCATGAATATCTTCCAGTCTTGGGATTGGATGCTTTTAGCCAAGCAGCAACAAGAATGTTGTTGGGTGCGGATTCTCCTATTATTGCACAAGGTCGTGCTTTTGGCATTCAAACATTATCTGGTACTGGAGGATTACGTATTATAGCTGAATTTTTAAGTCATGTTCTACACTATGATACCTTTTATTATAGTAAACCGACTTGGGGTAAGTGTCAACAGATTTTTCAAAAAATAAAATAAACATTCACTCTATTTAACATATATTACATATATAGAGAATCATAAACTTGTGTTCGTAAATGGAGGGTTTAAAAAAGCATGTGAATATACATATTGGAATCCAGAAACTCGTAGCGTTGATGTAGAAGGTATGCTTAAAGACCTTAGAGATGCTCCAGAAAATGCTGTAATTATTCTCCATACATGTGCACATAATCCTACCGGATGTGATCCAACTCCTGAGCAATGGGCCAAGATAGGAGATGTAATAAAAGAGAAAAAACTTTTCCCAGTTTTTGATACTGCTTATCAGGTATTATAAATAATGTATATTATTCTCTATTTTTAGAATAGAATAATTTTAAGAGTAATATAAAAGAAATAATTTTAAAAAAGATTTTATTGTAGGGTTTTGCAACTGGTGATTTAGATAAAGATGCATATGCAGTAAGATTATTTGCAGAACGTGGAATAGAATTCATGTGTTCACAAAGCTTTGCCAAAAATTTTGGCTTGTACAATGAAAGAGTTGGAAATATGGTAGTTGTTATGTCTAATATAAAAGAATTAGCCCAGGTTAAGTCTCAGTTAACTTTGATTGTTCGAGGAATGTATAGTAATCCGCCTAATCATGGAGCAAGAATAGTCGCAACTGTGTTGCAGAATCCAGACCTCTATAAACAATGGTATGGTGTAAAGGATAAAATTAATTTAATTCGTTTTACAATACATGTTTAAAATTTCTAAATTGAAATATCAAAATATTTCAGGAAAGATCATATTCTCACAATGTCCAAAAGAATAAAGGAAATGCGAATGAGTTTGTATCAAAGATTGGTTCAGAAAGGAACTCCAGGTAATTGGGAACATATTACTCAACAAATTGGGATGTTTTCTTATACAGGTCTTACAGGTAAGTACTCAATGAAACCATTTTGTCACATTTATTCTATATCTCATCAATATCTTACTAATGACTCTTACTAATCATCATTTCAGAGAGACAAGTTGAGTGTTTAATTAATAATTACCATATCTATATGTTGCGAAGCGGTAGAATAAATATATGTGGACTCAATGAATCCAACTTAGATTATGTGGCAAGTGCGATTTATGAGACTGTTCTACTGTATCCACAAAATAAGGAAAGTTGTTCATGCAAGTAGAAGGTTGGATGATTAGATACCGTATCATAATAAGTATAAATTGTTATTGGAGTATTGAGAAGATCGTTAAAATATGGCAATATTTTATATGCATTGAAGTTATATTGGAATTATAAAAATATATTATATCGGTATCTTTTGTTACGTTTTTGTTATCATTTTACCGCTTAATATGATTTATTACAATGTTTATTTAGTCAAAAATTTCTCTGTCTCAAAAAATTTTATTGTTTATACATTTATAAATTGAAAATTTTATTTCATACAGAAATTGAACCATTTTGTTAGGAATCGCCTTGTCTATGAAAGTACAAAGTATCAACAAAGTATTATGAATTGCCAAATTTTAATACATGTGTTAGTACAATCGCTTATTATTAAAATAATTTTCATTGAGCTTAATAGTTTGTAGGGAAATATGAAATATTTACAATAGAAGTTCATTTTGATATAAATGATTTTTTAATGCATTTTACAATTTTCATATAATTAAAAAGCTCATTAATAAGCTCTGCTTTCAAATAATGTTATTCTTTAACTAATATGAACAAGAGTTTTTTAAAACCCTTGTTAAAGAGATGGTTACAAATCATATACACTACATAGAAAACCAAAGTTTGAAATTATCATATGTAACAATAATCTTGTAAATAATTTCAGAACTATATATACATATACACATCATATCAGTGATATTGTTAGTAAATGAGACCAAATTTTTAAAACTACCTTACATTCTAAGTAATTATCCTTATTATAGATAAAAATGGAAATATTTCTTACATATTTCCAAGGATATTTTTTAAACACAATTTTTCTATCAACGAGTATGCATTATAAGATATTATCTTTATATAGTATCTTATATTCAGTACATACCATATCTTTAACAATAAATTAATATATATAAATACAATTTATTAACGAAAATATTGATGACTGATAAAAACTTAAAATCTAAAAATAACAATAACAGAGCTTCCGTTATTTTAATAATAAGCGGCTTATTTACAGAAATTAATATCCGAAATTATTAAAACTCAATGCAATCTATTATTACAGTTAGTTCCTGTTTACTAACTTGTTCTATTATGGTTTTCCATGCTCTATAAAAGGAAATTGAAACACTATATTTTTTGTATGTAGAATTTAAATCAGTTGTATTCTTATAGTAAATATCTATAAGAAATGAATATAAGAAACAAAGAAATGCTGTAGAAAAAGTATATAACTTCCGTTTAATATAGATGCTATAACCTCTTGTGCTATATAAGAAGTAGAATGTATTTTTTGTATACTAAATGCTTCCAGTAGTCTAAAACTTATACAACTTGAAAAATAGAGATTTCAACAGAAATCGATAAAACATATAATTAATGTATCATAATAATGTTCTGTATTTCACTTCCAAGTATTTTAAAAAATTTTGATTTTTAAAACTCAGTGCATGTAATAAATTTTCTAAAATGTCTATATATTATACATAATGCATTTAATATTTATAAATCAAATAAAAAAAATTATATACATTTGTAATATTTACATATAAATCAATATATACATATATATACACTTAAAAATACATACATATATTTTTAGTACACATTGTTATGTAATTTAAGCTTCGAACTCATCTTGTTCAAGAATCTGAACCAAACTCAGAACTCTTAAATTTTCGTACAAATTATAATGGGGTATGGTAGAATGAACATAATTAATTTTAGGATTTTCTTTTCCATAACATCTATTCTTTCTAGTGTATTTTGAAATATGTATATCTAGATGATATTTTTCTGCATTCGTTGTAGCATCATAATTGTATGTATACAAATTGTTCATTGTAGCATACCTAACTGTATTTCAAATTTTGGACTATCTTATATATACTGCCAAAATAACTTGAATATGCAATGAGAAAGTTAATTTTCTATGTATTTATATAAAATAAATGTAATACAGAAAGCAACTCATATTTTATAAAAACAATATATAATTTTGTCGAACTTATAAATACTACCAAATAATATTACACTAATGTACATTTATATGAGTTTTAAATTTTAAATATAATAAGAATTGAAAAATATAAATGTTTCAGCAGACTACTTTTAACAGGGGATATTAAATTGTTAAGTACATTTGTTTACATATCACTGAAATGTACATAGAAAAGGAGTAATAACTAATTAGCAATTAGTATTGAAATAAAATATATATAAATAATAATTGTGTATTTTATTTAATGTAAATTCTTAAACATATAATTGTTATTAATTCATATAAAATGTAACAAATTACATTGTCCACTTTGATGGTTTTTTTTTTAAATTAATTGACCCATCAGATGTAACTGCAGGATAATGATTTGTATTATCAGAATTATGTCGCATATAAGCCATATATCCTATACAACTAAACATTGCAATAGCTCCAAAAATCATTATCACTTTATTCTGGAAAATAAATTTAATTATTCTAATTTTATTACAATATATATTTATATTCAATTAGTCATATTGGTTTTTATAATTCCATTAATATTTTTAATTTTTGGAGTAATCTTACCGGCTTAACATATAATTCGTAATTAATTGCACGAAATAACATTGTACTCTTCAAGGAGCGTAAGCCATCTCCAGGCTCTGCTTTATGATTTTTCTTATCCATTATTAATTATTATGTCATAAAACTTAACAAATATCAGTTTTAATTCTTAATTAATACATCTAACCTTTTTAATCACTGAATAAAAGGGAATATATCTGGCCTCCTTTTATATGAAATTCTAACCTCTCTATAAAAACAAAATGTATTCGTGATGTTCTATGCGTGGTAGCTATAACAATTGCTTGATCGCAATAATCATGGTACGAAAATTAAAATATCACGAACAGAAGTTGCTGAAAAAGCTTGATTTTATATCATGGGAAGCAGATAATAATCTACATGAAGTGAAGATTTTGAAACGTTATCGAATACAAAAAAGGGAAGATTATACGAAGTAAGTCTATTGTTACATTACTAATTAAATAACGATTGTACTATATTCTTACGTTAAACAAATAATAAATTTTTAATTATTTCAGGTATAATAAGCTATCACGGGAAATTCGTGAATTAGGGGAAAAAATTAAAGGAATTGATGCAGATCATCCATTTCGAATAGAGCAGAGTGCATTATTGTTAGAAAAGTTATATATAATGGGACTTATAAATACAAAATGGGATTTGTCACTAACACAAAACGTGAGTGCAAGTTCGTTTTGCAGAAGACGACTGCCAGTTATTATGGTACGAAATAAAATGAGTCAAAATTTAAAGATTGCAACACAATTAATAGAACAGGGTCATGTTAGAGTTGGCATAGAAGTTGTAAAAGATCCAGCATTTCTGGTAACAAGGTATTAAATATAAATATTTTTTAATAATATAAATAAACAAAATAAAGCAATCAGCCCATAATTGACATATGTGACAATAATTCTTGTAAATATAATTTTCTAGGAATTTAGAAGATTTTGTTACTTGGGTAGATACGTCTGCTATTAAGAAACATGTATTGGAATACAATGATGCTGTAAGTAATAAATCCATATTTTATAATATTTTATATTTACTTAGATTTAACATATTCATTTACTTTATGTATTGTTCTGTTACAGAGAGATGATTTTGATATGGCATAAATCTAGTAAAGATATTAAAACCAAAATTTCTTAATTCTAATAACTACTATTAAAATTCTCATACGTAAAAAATAATTATATGTTCAATAAATCATTTAATTAATACCTATAGAACTTAATTGTCCTTAAGAACTGCTTTCTGATATTTTTGAGATTGTTTCATATGAATTTTTTGAAATATAACTTCACGCATTGTATCCATGTAATTACTAAAAAGAAACAATAAATTAAGAACTTTGAAAATATTCGTATATCACTAATTACTTACCAAAGATATAATATTGATTTCATAGCTTTTAGTATCTTTTTACGATGACCTAGAATATCTTTTATAATATAATCATCATTACTAGATGATACATATTTTATTGATGAATTTTTCTTTGTAAGCTTTAATATTTTTGTTTTTGGCATTTCACAATTAAATCTATCATCCAAATTATTTTTCGCCAATATGAAAGGTTTATTTTTATCATCAGATAAGGTAATATAATTCTCTTTTCTTTTAGAATCCTAATTAATGCATGTTGCGTTATTAGAAATTATGTTATTGTTTAAATTATTTTTTAATTTTAAACATTTAACTATAATAAATATTTATAACTATAACTATAATAAATATTTATATTTACTTTACGTAATAATTCGATATATTTTATCTTTTTAGTTACAGAGTAGTCGGTTTTGTTGTCATTATTATTGTTAGTTTTTTGTTTTCTATATGTATGCAGTTCCATTGGTATCACCGAATTTTTAGTAGCATTGTTGTTATTTTTAACAAAAGTTTTTTCTTTAATATCCGACGTATATTCATTTATATTCCCAGTTTCTTCAGTTATCGTATCGATATGTTCTATAATGTCTTCATCTTTTTCAATTTGTGATATATTATTTTCATCATTTAATTCACGAAAAGATGGTATTCCGATACTACATATAGATTGGAAGAGAGAATTGCAAGAAGAACAAAAACTAGAGTATTTTTCGTTAACATTTTCGTCTTCTATAATATTAAAAGAATTCTCCATTTTAGATCCCAAATCATATCGAACCGGAAATGAAAACGTTTAAAAAGGAAGCAATTTTATGTAATAATAATATATTCGTTTAGTAAAGATTGATTTATTAAAAATCATATTGATCGCATCACAAGGTATAAATTGTGAAATTTTTAATTATTCAATTTCAAATACATCCATATTTTTATTCAAGTTCAGGCTGTTTATGTTCTAGTATGCCATAAAAAAACTTTGTTTTAACAACGAACAACGCACGTATTTCATTATACAGAACTTACAGAAATAATATACCGCGTTTTAAGTGATAGATACCGTTTAAAAACATCTCTTATACTGGCGTTTGCTATTTATCATCGATTAAATAAGTATTATTTGTAAAAATATGGGTATTAATTACATAATTTTTCAAATAAAGGAGATGTTAGTAAACGAAAAAAATCCATACGATAATTTGACAATTAATAACTTTGCTTGTTTAAAATCTAAGATCACGTGTTTATGGAGAACCACTCATTCATATACCTACAATGAATAATTAGTATTTCAATATGATATACATGTTACATGTTAATTTACATTAAAATCGGCAGTCATTGCTGGTCTCTATGACACATTACCATATTACATATTCATGTTACATCATAAAATATGAGAAGTTTTTTATCTAAAAAGTAACTCAGTTATATTCGATAGGGTAGGTACATGTTAATTATATTTCAATTTTGTTGTATTAGACTTTTTTCTTACTTGCTTTAATGTATTGCTATTCATTATCAGTAATCAATGCTATGCAAATTAATAATGAAATGGCAAAGATGTGGAGTATAAATGAATTACTTTTCTTTTCACATATTTCTGTGACATAACTATGAAATAGAATGGGCGTTGCGTCGACTCAGGTCCCCAAGTATTCTCCCTCTTCCTTCAACTATTTACAAAATTCTTTTTGAAATTTTCTCAAAAAGTGCTGCAGTTACAATGTGTTCAAAATTTTCACCAATATATCAATACAGTATCATAATTTCATTTTATGGATACATTCCATTTCCATAAATATGTATTGCTGCATACTGCCATTACTTAAAACTTTATATGCAAATGTGAATAAATGTACGTAAGATGAATGATACACTTTTCATGAATATTTGATACCTTCATAAATTAAAATTTCAGAATCAGGTTTCAACAATGTTTTCGATTTCATACTTTTGTTTCCATCGCGAATATAATATTTCAAAACAGAAAAATAAAATAAAACACTTGAAAATATTACATTAATAGAAGTAACGCATACAGAATTATCGTTGCTTTTTTTTATCATAAGATATATAATATCTTTTCAATTGATCGTATCAGTTATAAATTTTGGCTACATGTACCAATTAACATTTTTATACTTTCCTCGCATTTACCACTTATACTTTCACAATCTTATTATTGATTTTACTTTTACAAATTTTTAGGCATATCCTATTCTATCAATTAATTTTAATAAGATATTCGGCATATTTTACAAAATTGTAAAATAAAACAGATTTATATAAAAATCATTTATATACCCATTTAATGCAATATTGTTAGAAATTATATTTATTCCACATCATTAACATGATATTATTATAATGTACCGAATACCTTATTGGCAGAAATTTTCAATCTACAATAATATATTCATAATTTCAAATTTCGTTAATTTCAAATTTCAAAATTCGTCATGATATCGAAAAATATCTCTTTCATGATTATTTGAAATTTGAAACAGCACTTTCTACATGCATCCCTGCTTTTTGTTTAATTTATCAATTTGTATATCATTTTATAATTAAAGGATAGAACAAAAAATGTATATCATAATTATTTTGTTTACACTATATAAATAAGTAAGAGATAGAACTAAATGATTATATTAGACAATATTTGAAATAATTATCAATATAAAGAATGGCTAGTAAAAATATACAGCAATAACGTAAAAAGCTAATAACATTTTTCATTGAACGAAATTGGCATTTATATACAAAACTAAATATTTAAAAAATATTTACTTTTGATATTTAATGTTTGTATCTTTTAAGCATTTTTACATAGAAAGAATTTTACAATATAGAATTTTGATAAATCAATTATAGATAATAAAAAATAAGTTACATGTTTTTAATATATTTTGTTGAAAATAAATGTTCTGTTTGATTATAAAAATTAACATTTTACAATTATTTACATCTTCACGTGTAACTTACATTGGATACAACTGTTTTTAAATAAAGTATTTTACATAAATTTTGTTATATCTTGTGCCTCCATTTACATAAATTAGATCCAAATAATAGAAATCATTTTTCTATTTTATAGTATTACAAAAACAATATTATGAAATTTATAACAAACTTCAAATCCTACTTCATTAAAACGAGCAACCGCCATCCTATTAAAAAAACAATCATAAAACAAATTAAAACATAGTTAAAAATGAATAATATAACATACTACTTTCAATTACGATTGAAGTTATATTTTTTTGTTAACCCCTCGATAAAAATTGTACAATGTCATATACCCAGATTCTTTATTACTTTACACATAAAAAGATTCAATCCTAAATATATTTAATATTTTTTATAATATAAAACAATTCTGTTGTAAAAATAATATTTAATGTAACCTACAAATTATCATTAAGCGAACATTTTTTATAAATTTATGCAACATTATACAAATAACGAAGGGTTAAACTATTTCCATCTTTATGCATGCTTGAACACCTTTGGCAAACAGTTCCACGTATAAAGATACGCGTGATCTTAGATTTATTACTGACTATACATTCTTTTAGATTTTTCTACACATAAGTATATTTTTGTTTTAGTAAACTATTTTTGAATATAACAACCATATCAAAGATTTTTATAGTCAAATGAAAATTTGAAAAATTTTATATAAAAAGATATGAAATACGCTGCCGTTCATTTTTATAATATTGGGTGTTTTGTTAAGTTATTTAATATCTAATAGTTGTACGCGCGACATTATGAATTATATCATTAAAACTTTTTTTGTAGTATTTTATGATTAAAACAAGTTCCATTACTACGATGAATATTCGAATATTTCATATCGAAATCATAAAAATATTACTGAATATTATTTCAATTCTATCTATATATTATACAATTTTAGGAAAAATGTTATCGAACTTGTGATTCACGTATTTATGCAACGATCTTTTGCGTAATAATTGCAATTCATAATGTCATTATACAAGGCATGACATTTCTCTTATTTAAGTTGCTTATAATGTAAAACAATCTCTTTTTTCTTTGTTTTATATATCTTTGTTAACGATAAACGATCAAGAATCATTAGTATTATGTAATCACGGTTGGTACATCACGACCAGTAAATTCTCGTAATTTACTTATCTCTAACGCAATAGTAACCAACGGTTTAAGAATGTCTTGAGCATCTTTGTTTAAAGATGCTGTATCATCTTCATAGCTATCAACATACACACGAATAGTAGCTCCAGAACTTCCCGTACCAGATAAACGGTAAATTATACGGGAACCATCTTGGAATAAAATTCTTAATCCCTGTTATACAAAATTGCATAGTAACCTATACTGTCACGATATATTGTTACTTTATGTGGAATTTGTAGAATCATAATACAATACCTGCTTATTAGCTTGGCTTCCATCAATAGGATCTATATAAGAATAATTGTCACCTAATTTTACAACATATGTTTTCCCTTCAGATGTTAATTTTGAACCCACAAACCCAGGTTTCTCCATTTCTGATTCAATGTGTTGCATCATTTTGTTTGCTGCTTCAGAATCACAATTTTCATAGTCATATCTGGTTCATATAGTATAAAATTATAAAATTAGAACATAACTTACAAAACAGAGTACAACAATTAATCATATACAATATAATAAAAATAATACCTTGTAAAGAAGTTCCTCCCATATATCTGCCAGTGATTTAATAATATATCTTCTACAGACTTCCCAAGACTTGCAATTACACTAAGCCATGCAAGAGAGGCCCATATTCCATCTTTTTCACGAATATGATCCGAACCCGTGCCAAAACTTTCCTCTCCACAAAGTGATAGATGACCAGCATCCATTAAATTACCTAATAACATAACATTATTAATAAAATATAATTTTATGTGTTTAAAATATACTGTAAAAACATATGCAAAAATTAATATGTACCAAAATATTTCCAGCCTGTGGGTACTTCATAAAGTTTAACACCAGTTTTTGCTGCAACTCTATCTATAGCAGCACCTGTTGGCATAGATCTAGCATATCCTTTAATACCAGTCTTTTTAAAATATGGTATTGAATTTAAGTTAGCAGCTAATACAGCTAATGAATCAGAAGGTGTAACAAAGAAAGCATTTTTGCCTAGTATCTGCAAAGACATTGAGCATAAATTTGCATTTTTCATGCTAGTTATTTTCTATACCAAATAAATACTTTATTTACCATATTTCTGTCTCCATCCCCATCAAAAGCAGCACCAAAGTCATATGGACCATTTTTCATAGCATTTACTAAATCTTTGGCATATGTTAAATTTGGATCAGGATGAAGCCCACCAAAATCTTCTAATGGAATTGCATTAACAGTACTTGAATCATCGACACCTAATTCATTACTAAATATTCGTTTTACATATGGACCAGTAACTAGAAATGATTAACTATTATTTAACAAATGTATCAAAGAATTAAATTTATTAATATAACTTTTACATACCTCCATTCATTGAATTGATAAGAACTTTAAAAGGAGGACGATTGTTACTTCCTTGTAATAATGTTTTGATACTAGAAAAGTCAAAGATATTTTTCATATGTTCTAAGTAATCATTCACAGAATCTATTATGTCTATTGTAAATGGATTTCCATCCACCTGAATTGTAGTACTTTGTATCTTGTCTATATCTATGGTTATATCAGGTATAATTTTATAATTCTTGAGCACTTTAGTAATCTCATAAATCTTATTTGTGACATTATCTGGAGCAGGACCACCATTTTCGCAGTTAAACTTAATGCCAAAGTCAGCATTGGGTCCACCAGGATTGTGAGATGCTGTTAGAACAATTCCTCCTAGAGTTTTGTATTTTCTTATTATAGTAGACACAGCTGGAGTCGAAAGTATCCCATTTTGCCCAATTATTAATCTTTTTACCTAATGCAACAAATAGTCATTTAAAATAATAAATTAAAATAATAAAATTAGAGATAATAGTTTTTTAATCAAATAAAAAAGCATATATATAAATGAACGAAATGTAAATCTAGTTTAAATAAATTACTCCATTTGCTGCAGCAATCCTGATGATCTTTCTAACCACATCTTTTCCATAATATCTTCCATCGCCACCAACAACTAACGTACTTCCAGGCAATTGTTCTTCTAGAGCTTGCAATATTGCTTGAATGAAATTTTCTGTATAATGTTCTTGCATAAATACCCTCACCGCTTTTCGCAATCCGGACGTACCCGGCTTTTGACCATCGTATATTCGGGTTTCTACAATTTTGCTCGACACTGCGTTTGACATCTTTCAAATATTACACTTAATGTGATATCCACTGAAATAAAATGGAATTATTTGTATCTGAACCCAAACAGGAGAGAAAAATCAGATTTGTGAATTTCATAACACGTCCTCGACGCTTGGTAGCAGACTGAACTTTGCCTACCAATGACACACAAGGGCATGGGTCAACCATCTTTAAAACATTGCGCCCGCGCTTTACCACTTGCTAATAATATTGTCTTTATGAAGAACATAGCTCTTCCAAGCGCGACATACTAATATTCTATACGGTATAAAATTGATAATAGAACATAAACATTTGATAATTTCAATGATTATAATTTATATCGATGTCTTTATTGATTCTAGTAGTAGCTTCCGGATAACGTGAATCCGGAAAATGGGTAAAAATGCTAAATTAAACGAGCCTTATCATTCTCGATTACTTTAAACAAATAAGTTTAAGTTGAGCGCATAAAAACTTCCTTAATAATATTCTCATTTATGAGGAACGATTCATTTAATAATTCTGATCCACGTGAATTTTATTCATATTCTTATTATTATAATTAAATAAAATATATTTATATTATAATATATTTTTTTCTGGGAACCACAATAGATTAAAATATACTACCACCATAATACTTAATTTGCACAAAATATTATATTGTATTTGTGTACTTTGTCTCTGGCAATATTATCCAAGTCGGCTACATTGTTGAGAATTATTTGGCCTATGAAATTTCTTTTATGTTAATCATTCTAAAAGATTTAGTAACGTGGGTTACTGATGACCACGGTAATTAACGTGTCAATAATAATTAATTAAATGCGTGATATTTAAAACTGGATGACTTTTATCTTAATTCTAGAATCTTGCGATTTTTGCTTTAAGATTTCCGTAAAATTATTGATGTATAAACTTGCAAAGAGTACTATAAATTAACAATTATGTTTATCAAATAATTATTTAGTGTACTATCGGTACAATAGGTTGATAGACAACATTTAAAAACTTAATTTTTTACATATTAAAATTATAGAGAGCGGATATATATATACACCCACATATACATACACACACACATATATACACCTAACGTTTGCGTAACTCAAAAATGAAGTTTGCTCTTTATATCACAGAAGAAATGAACTACTTTTCCAAATACGTTACGACATTTAAATTCGTTGTATCTTGTTATTCGGCAATTTTTTTTTCAAAATATACGAAAATGTAGAGAGAAAAGTCGAGTAAAAAGTACACGCACGCGTAGATGATGATTTACTTATTATGACGATCAGCATTAGCGAAGAAAAATAAGGAGGAGGGAGCTTATTATGTCAAGAATGCCTGATATAAGCACGCGATTTTACAAAACAGACGTATAGTTGTTTAAAACAACAGTTCTCCCTAAGTTTCGCTTGTGAAAGCTGTATTATAAATTGTATCATAGGTTGTATCATTGATAGTGTAATCACATAGTATCTCAAAAATAAGTGAAATTTTTTAATTAAATATAAACACATCTTTTGATTAATAATCAACGCTTTTAATATGCCTATACGAATTTTCAGAAATATAATAATATTATAAATAACGAATATAAGCAAAATTTGATTTTCAAAAAGTTTTAGTGTGAAATTTAACATTTGAACACACTGATAAACGTTGCAAGTAAGTCATTTTTATGGTAATTAAATTATCAATTAAAGATAATAAAAAATATAAATAATAAGAAAAATAATTTAAAAAATTAAAAATTGTAGGATAAATGGTTAATAACGCATATATTTTATTTTGATAGTTCCTCTTATATGGCGTGCATGCATATGCATAAATTAAATATAACATGTATAGATGTAAAAATGATTGGAAATCTTGTATTATACAGCATGATAGTGGATCTGAAAGTACACCTTTATTCTCTTCAGGATCTCATACTAGTATAGAACCCAGTATATTTCAAGATTCTGAAACCAGTGATTTAGACTGCACTCCTACAAATAGCTATTTCAAGTACCAATTTTTTCTTACTATCCTTTAACAATACTTCTTTTCATTATAAATGAAATAACATTACTTTTTCTGCTAAGTATCATTTTCAATATTATTATCAATGATAATCGCTTATTATAGTCAATTTTTCATAGGTATGGTAGTTTAGAAAGTTGTAGTCACCATTCTAACATTACTGTAGTACCAAAGAGACCACCACCCCTTGCTGAAAATCATACTTTAGTTACACCTTTAGTATTAAACATTTCCTCCTCCTTAAACGTAAGAGAAGACAGATGTTATGAAATCCATAATACTGATCTGGTGAGAACACCACAAACAATATAAAATTGCATGTTTCAATATATAATATTTATATCAAGGTTGGATACTTTGAAATAAAAGGAATAATATAGAATAATATAGAAAGAAATAATATCCATTATCTTTAGTTAAATTCTACTGCAATCATAAAATTCTACTTAGTACAAACATATTCTCACTTAAAATTTTTACTGATACTGAAATAGTTGTGAGAACTTATTGTAACATTTTTATTTTGTTAAATATATAGTAACATAAATACGAACAGCTATGTTAAATAAATTATAAATGAATTGTTATCTTAATTTTATTGCAATAGGAAGCTGAGGAAGCTACATGCAAGGATATTAAATCAAAACAAAGCTCTGTAGTCACAATGTAAGTAATAATATAATATCTAGTTCTTAATATCCAATGTTTTTTCGATATACTATTATGCAAAAATGTTTCTAAAATCTCATGCTTCACATGATTATCAATCAGCAAAAGAAAATTTTTGTTAATGTTGTTCTTGCATTAATAAATTTAGCATCAATAGTATAATATAGTATTAATTATAAATTATTAACAGCTATCATGTTATCATCAAGAAAGGGTTCTGGGTCAATTCTCTTAGTACAGTGTTCAGAAATCTAATCACATCCATAAATTTTTTGTTATCTCTTTGTAGTCGTATTTTTAGTAGGTTGATGATGAGAGAAAAATGAAATCTTGCATCAGAAATGCTTGTATGCATTTTGAACATGGAAGACTAACTTGTTTCTTATAAGCAATATATCATTTCCATCATCTTTCACCTCTCGTTTGATACATGCATATAAAAAGTAACTTGTATTTACAATAACATTTTTATGCTTTTTTATTACATATTGTTTGTGATCTTTTCTCTTCATTCACTAAATCTTCAATATAGCTCTGCAAATTAAAATTATGAACTCAAAATGTGAAAGCAAACAAAAAAATGTTTAATTAGGATAATATATTTAAACATCATCCGTTCTATAAATAATTCTTGACAAGTTAGATATTTCATTGTTGTAAACTATTATTACATACATCATATTAAGAAAACTTACCTATATAAATCGAAATTCCTTTCGCTAAGTTTCGTCAAAATAAGATCTCAAAGGATATTAAACTTGTTTTCATGATATTAATTTCCACTACTATTTATATAATGTTTCAATTAATGTTTAAAATCATATACACCATCGTTCGTTCTCACATCTTAAAAGCACGCACCTAATGCAGTAGCATAATAGAACAAAGAAACTTTAAATTATACATATTGATATGTTGCCTTTCTTCCATTTTAAATAAACAAAAAAGAGGGAAGAAGAATGTAAAAAATCAAAGCGGATGCATGATTTTAAGATATGAAAACGAAAGAGTATCAAACTAACATGGTTAACAGTTGCTCACGTTTCGACCACCATCGGGTGGTTGTGACGACGACGACTACACAGTATACTCACATAAGAAGGGGTTAGTGCTCCGTCGGTTGCCTGGGCAACAGACGGCCACCCGAAAGGTCAATGCCCGTAGCTGGTACCTAAGAAGAATAACGAGGGAACCACATGAGATGCTATGATTGAATATTGATGAACATTAATACTAAAATTATCAAAATTCTCAAAATGACCAATTCACAAAAATTATATAAATTTACAGAAGGAATTTTCTTATAATCTTCTGTAAAATTTCCTGACAATATACATATATCATTTTAGCCATTGGTAGTTCCAATATTAACTTAAACAATATTTACTACACTATAACCTAAATAAAGAATAAAAAGTTATGCAATTTATTTATAAGCACAACCAACACTATCATAACAAAATTTTAGATCATTAACCTACATATATTTTTCTTAATTTTTTTTTGTAACTACAACTTTCCATTTTTTAACTTTTAAGTACCTGTTTTTTTCTTTTTATATATTTTATATGACAGATTAAGTTAATAATTAATAGGAATCTTTAAAGAATATTATTTATTTGTAACTATATAATTTCATACCTTTATAGATTTTCAATTTGGAACACAATATTAGGCTCCTCCTTATTAACAATACCATGGGGTATTCAAATGGCTGGTTTCTTTCCTGGTATTATTCTAATATTTGTGATGAGTGGTTTATGTCTATATACTGCTTATTGTCTCCTACTTGTACATAAATATTATGGTACAAAATATTTAATTCTTTTTGTTTAGGGAAACTAATACAATAATATGTTTACAATAATTTAATGTTTTAGGTGGGCAAAAAGGAATAGAAGTAATTCAATTATGTCGGATATATCTTAACAAGTGGGCAGAATATGTTGCCAAAGCTTTTAGCATTACAGTTTTAATAGGTGCAACTATAGCTTACTGGGTTCTAATGTCTAATTTCTTATATAATACTGTCAATTTCATATATGGTAAATGTGCATAAATCTTCGCTTTTTATGTAAAATTCATTTAAAAAAATTGAATATTTTTTTATAGATAGTTTAGTATCCCAGTACTATACAAATGATAATATTTCATACACATCAGAAGGTAAGTATATTTTATTCATGATATATATTGAAAGATTAATGTCAATTATTTATTTTAATTCTAGTACTATGCCCAAAAAGAATAATCTATAATAGCACAAATTTAATAACTCGTGATTATACATATAATACTTTGGGACCAGTTTGGGATCTGTATAAAACAGTTCCTATTTTCCTTGGTTTATTAATATTTCCGTTTTTAAATTTTAATAGTCCCACCTTTTTTACAAAATTTAATTCTCTTGGTATGTATACAAATGATTTCTAGACTTAATATTTTTTTAAGTCACATTTGATTTATAAAATTATGATTTTTTTGTATGTGTCATAGGAACCATGTCAATCATATATTTAATTACCTTTGTTTTGATTAAGTCGTACTCATGGGGTATTAATATGAATGAAATAGAGTGGAACATAAGTTGGACGTTGAAATTTTCATTTCCTGCACTTTCTGGGATGTTAGCATTGTCGTTTTTCATTCACAACATTATAATTACTGTGATGCAGAATAATCATGATCAAAGTAAAAATGTAAATAATTTTACTTCCTTCTTCGCATAAATATAATTAAACTACTGAAAAGCTTTATCTTTTAATTACAGGGAAGAGATCTTTCAATAGCCTATCTATTGGTTACTCTAACTTATATTATAGTAGGTGTAGTATTTTACGTATGTTTTCCACTAAACAAATCATGCATTGAAGATGTAAGTAAAATATTAAATTAAGCATCAAAGTATAATACTCTTAGGAAAGAAAATAACAAGTAAAATTGAATCTTTTTTACAGAATTTGTTGAATAATTTTCAAAAATGGAATGGCTTAACAGTAGGTGCTCGAATTGTTCTTCTTTTCCAATTATTAACCGTTTACCCGTTACTTGCGTACATGTTACGTGTTCAATTACTTACATCAACGTGTAAGACATTTAATACAGGCTGTGTTATTCTAGTTAACGTTATTTTGGTATCTATATGCATTTTATTTGCAGTGTTTGTACCATATATTGGTACAATAATACGATATACAGGTGCCTTAAGTGGTTTTATTTATGTTTTTACTTTACCAAGTTTATTATACTTGGCAATTTTGAAACAACAAAAAAAATTGACAATATTTTCTATACTTTTACATACAAGTATTCCAATATTTGGATTTTTAAATTTATTAGCTCAATTTTTCATTGCAGAAAATTAAAAATGTTGAAACTTAAATTTGAAAAATTCCTAGTATTACAATACAGCTAAACAAATGAATAATTACGAAGTTGAAAATGTGTATGAACATAATTATGCTTGTTGCATAAATGTAAAATATCTAATTAATTGATAGGAATGCATATAGATATTAACATATAAATTTTATAAAAAGCTTATTTATTCGTTAGTCTGTCATTATCTACTTATGATATGTATCATGATTTATACAGAGTAATTTATTTATAATTACGCAATATTTACAATGTTTATAAATATTTTGAAATTCATATCTAATTATACTATTTTAAACTTTTTGAAATCTTATATATCCAAACTGTATCAACACCTTCACCAATTGTTTTTATTTCACTTATAGTAGGAAGTGGAAACCTACAAGCAATTATAACAGCATCTTCTTGTAGCTCTTTAATAAACTTCATTTCAACATCTTTCATCTGAAAATGTATACTACATTAATTACATTGTGCAAGAGAAGCTATATAAAAAATAATATATAAAATTTACCATTTGATCGACACCAAATAACACAACATTATCATACTTTTTTAAGTTATAATTCCATAAATTCTGTTTTATAAATTTTGTCTGTAAAGATGAACTTGTGATTAAAGCTTTTAGTCTAGAGTACCATACTAACCAAGGATTTAATTCAATTCCATGGGCTTTAAATCCTGCTTTTGCTGTCGCAAAGACCTATTTATAAAATTATAGTACTGTATTTGTATTTACTAACAATTCAATATTTACACAATATGAAGACAATATTTACTATACGCCCATCACCACTTCCAAGATCAATCAAAGAACCAGTACGTCCTTCTAAAGCTTGCAATACATTTCTTATTTGCTGAGACGTAGCTGGTACATAAGGCAAACATATTTTGCGAAAGGCAGGACTCACAAATGGAATACATATCACACTAATAGCTGTCGCAATGCCTCCTAAAAGATAATATAAATGAATCACATTTATGGAAGTTAATATAATTACATTTTGTAACATATTTTCTATTATACTACCTGTTATTCCAATAAGATACAAGCCAAGTTTCGATGCCTTTTGCGGTATTTTTTGTGATGGATTGATATTATTAATTATGTCATTTATTTCATTAATCTCTGCTAATTAAATTGACATAAAATTAAAATTTGCAAATGTAACATAACATTTGGAAATAAATTTACAAATCTTAAAATTTTATTTTATGATTTGTAATTCATGAATCTTACACATTTTGTATACTTGTATAGTTGTCAGCAATATAAAAATTCTTTATTTACTTTATAACATACACAAACAGTGCAGTTTGTAACATGCAGTGAAATACTAACCTCAAAACACGTTTGCATACACATTGCGTATCTACCTTGAAACATCACGAACATAGTTATGAAACAAGTTCAATATATTTGGCGCGAATTTTAAACGTTATAAAATTCTAGTGTTTTAATTTATACCAATATAGCTTATACGGAACATTTTTATGTAGATCTTGGTATAAAAAGAAAAATCTTTATTATTATTAAATGTTATACTGCTCAAATTTCATCAGAATTTCATATCATTTAAAGTGCATGCCAAAAATATTCAAACTGATTCACAATTTGTGATGTATCAAGATCAAAGCAAGGCAAGAATACGCAATATTCCCTAGATTTCTATGTTTGTATCGATACAATTTTCTCGTATACAGAATCGTAATTCTTGATCATGAATCGTGATTCGTGATTCATCACTGTATAATTACTTACGTATTTTCTCATCCTAGTAGTACGTCGGATAAGTTACTTCGTGTCATTTCTCGAAATAGTTCTGTTTGGTTCTTGCAACGCATTGTTAATGTTTTCGCGTGTAATTATTTCATTAAATTTTCAAGCAAATTTGTTTCCTTTTCATACGTTCTAATAATCGGCATTTTTACGTTTTTTCGTAACAAAGGCAGCTAAGATGCCGGTATTTCATACAAAAACCATAGAAAGTATCCTCGAGCCTGTTGCACAGCAGGTAAATATATTTATATTTCAATATTTTAATTGTTATATTTATAGAATCATCACTAACTTTGTTATGTTTCCAAAAATGTCATGGATATTTCTTACTTGGAATGGAGAGAGAAGGATGAAGATAGAAGGAGACAGATTTTCGATAAAAGGAATTCATTAATTTCATCTTTAAAAATAATTCACTTGTCATAATATAAGATATGTAGTAAATGTTTTTCATATGTTTTATCTGATCTATTTGTAAAATATATTTATATAATTTAAGATCTGTCAAACTAGAATTATTTGTTAAAAACATAATATTTAATACATGTTATGAAATTTATAATTTTGATTTTATGCCATTAATTATTATGAATGATGTTATTATCATGGTAAACCTGCCAAGTGACTTGTCTTTCTTTATATAGAACTATGACATCATTCTACAAATATAGGGCAGGGATACTAAATTCATCTTTAGATCTAAAAGGTTGGCTATATGAAATTCAATCCTAGTACAGACATTATGAAAAATCATGTTATTTAAACTAAGATCATTCTGTATCTCTAAAAAAGGACATGTTCTAGTCTACCAATCATTAAACCATCCTACACATTATACATATGAAATTACTAATGTCCTCTAAATTGATTGTCTTTCTGAATATGCTAATTTAGATAACTCCAATGTTAATGTAAGATAAATATGTATATAGATATATTTATTAATTATACTAATCGATTATAGATATAGACATACTTAAAGGTATAGATTATACATTGTAGATTATACTAATCGATTATAAATATAGATATACTTATAGGTATAAATTATACAATATAGATTATACTAATTGATTATAGATATAGATATACTTTTAGATATAGATTATACGATATAGATTATACTTTCAATTATACTAATGTACCCAAAAATTATTTAGAATAAATATATTTTTCTTTAGAATTATTGTATATTGTCAATTTTTAATATTTAATTGTTTTATGTTAAAATTATATGATATATTTAAATATATAACAAATATTTATAATTATTTGGAAATTTCATTTAGAATTAAGCTTTATTTATATGTTGTTCAGATATAGATTAAATACTTTTTTTAATACGTGTTTATATGACAAATGTTTGTTTATATCCTAAATATATGAAGTAAACGTAAAAAGATTATAAAAGTTACATTATTAACCTAGATAAATTTTTCAAAACTATTTCCTAAAAATTTTGTGTTATTGATGTTTGCATATTGCAGGTTTCGAGACTTGTCATCTTACATGAAGAAGCTGAAGATGGAAATGCAATGCCTGATTTGGGAAGGCCTGTGCAAGCAGTTAGTATGGCAGTGGCAAATCTTGTTAAGGTAAGTTAGTCTTTTAAACTAAATTTACTTTAGTAAAATAATTTCATCATTTTTCTTTAAATTTTTTATTGATATATATAGGTAGGAAAAGAAACAATTAATTCTTCTGATGATGCTTTGCTTAAACAAGATATGCCTGCTGCTTTACAACGAGTTGAAGGAGCTTCACGTCTCTTGGAAGAGGCATCAGCTATGTTAAAACAAGACCCATATTCTGGACCAGCTAGGTATCGAAACTAAGACAAAATTCATGTTATAGAGCTGCTGTTACATAATCTTACAAAGTTAAAAATATTTACAAAATATATTGAGATAAAAATGTAATCTGCTTATTAGGAAAAAGTTAATAGAAGGTTCACGTGGGATCCTTCAAGGAACTAGTTCCTTACTTCTGTGCTTTGATGAAAGTGAAGTACGTAAAATTATTAGGGAATGCAAAAGAGTATTAGATTATTTGGCAGTAACAGAAGTTATTGAAACAATGGAAGATTTGGTTCATTTTCTTAAAAATTTAAGTCCTTGTCTCAGCAAAGTATCGAAAGAAGTGAGTGCTCGTGAAAAAGAACTAACTCATCAAGTACATAGAGAAATTCTGGTACGCTGCTTAGAGCAAGTAAGTACAGAGATAATAGATGTTAATATATGATATAAACTGTATTGATGTTAGTAACAAGTATTATAAATTAAAATATGTAATAGGTAAAAACACTTGCACCAATTCTCATCTGCTCTATGAAAATATTTATTCACATTATTTCTCAAGGAAGTAAAGGAGCAGAAGAAGCAGCTGAAAATCGTAATTATTTAGCTGGCAGAATGTCAGATGAATTAAATGAAATTATTAGGGTATTGCAACTTACTACATATGATGAAGAAGAATGGGATGCTGATCAGTTAACAGTGTGTATCAACTATTAAAAACTTCAGTATGGTATATAAAATTTGAATATATTTTGATATCTTTATTTCTCTTTTTAAGGTATTAAAGAAAGCACAAAGTGCTATAGAATCTAGGATAAGAGCTGCTTATGATTGGTTAGATGACGGACTTGCTTTGCGAGGTGGAGTAGGGGAAAAGAGTCTTCGTCAAATAGTTGAACAAGCACAACGATTGGCAGAAAGATATCTCCCACCTTCACAGGCAGAACCATTGCAAAAATTAACTTCACAAATTGTTACTATGACCAATGCACTTTGTGAATTAAGACAGAATGAAAAAGGTTTATATAAACATACTTATATCTGGGTATAAAATGTGTTTTGTGAATTTTTTGTACTGATTCCTTATGATATTTTTATTTTCAAAGGAACTACACCGCAAGCGGAAGCTTTAGCGCGTGGTATAAAAGAAAAAACAAACGAACTTCGCAATGCTATTGCCTCTGCTATAGAAGCTGCTGATAAATCTGGTACCACGCAAACTGCTCACACAGTTGCAGGTCGTCTAGAACAGGCGAATAAATGGCTTCTTAATCCACAACATGATGATAAAGGACTTGGTCAGAGAGCTATAGCTTTAATTATACACGAAGGAAAAAAGGTACATAAATAAAATATTACATTCTACTGTTTTTTCTTTCTTTTTGCTATCGAATGTATGGGCATGTTATAACTATATGAATCTAGAAGTTTATCATTTAATTTTAATAATTTAAATGCCGCAAATGGGAAGAATCAGCAACACGTAGCAAGCGTAAGTTACGTGTGCAATTTGAGTATTCCTTCTAAATGCTAATAATAAAAACTTAATTTAATTATTCTGTTGGTATCACGATATTTATATATGCGACGAACTTCTAACCTTTTTCATGTTTATTAGTTGATTTATGTTCTAAACACTAGGTTGCCGAAGGTCTACCAGGAATACATAAAGCAGAAATTCTACAACTTTGCGATGAAGTTGACAATCTCTCTCATCAACTTGGAGATTTATGCGCTCATGGTCAAGGGAACACACCTCGTGCCCAAGAAATCGCTCGTCAATTGTCGCATAAGCTGTATGAACTGAAAAATAGAATACAACAAGCCGTTGTGTCGAGAGTAGTCGAAGATTTCATCGATATAACGACGCCTTTAAAACAATTTACGGACGCCGTATTAGCTCCGGAAGGCACTTTAGGTCGCGATCAAAATTTCAATGATAAAACCCATGCTCTTCAAACATTTTCCAATAGGGCAGCAAAAACAGCCAGAATGGTGGCTGCTGGTGGTATGTGGATATATTATTATTGTAGTCCTATCATTGTTTTACTCATATAATAGAATTTATTTAAATCTTAGGTAGTGGAGGTAACAAAAAATTGGCGGAAGCGTTAACTGCAAGTGCTTCGCAAGTTGAATCTTTAACACCGCAATTAATTAATGCTGGACGAATTCGAATGACTTATCCGGACAGTAAAGCTGCGGATGAACATTTTGAAAATTTGCGACAGCAATATGCAGAAACAATGCAGAGAGCACGTGCATTATGCGATGAAGCAACTGATAGTGGAGATTTCATTAGAACTTCTGAAGAACAAATGCAAAAGCATTCGTTCCTATGTGAGGAAGCTATAGCAAAAAGTCATCCACAAAAAATGGTTGACAATACAGCTGCCATTGCTAGATTGGCTAACAGAGTAATACTTGTGGCAAAACAAGAAAGTGATAATAGCGAGGATCCTGCGTTCATTCAAAGAGTGAATCAAGCTACAGACATTCTCCAAAATAGTAAATGATACACAATAATATCACATGAATTATTTAATTAAATTCTTTTAAATATATTTAAGTACTATCTAAACTTAATAAAAAATACTTCTATTTAGGTGTTGCTCCGATGGTCCAAGATGCAAAGTTAGTTGCGATTAATATTAACGATAGTAATGCAGTTTCTCGTTGGAGAGAAAGTAACCGCTCAGTGAGTAGTATAAAACATGAATCAAGTTTTAATCATTGTTGTAATCAACTTATTTATTGTTAT